ATCCATCCATCCATCCATCCATCCATCCATCCATTCATCCATCCATCCATTCATCCATCCATCCATCCATCCATCCATTCATCCATCCATCCATCCATCCATCCATTCATCCATTCATCCATCCATCCATCCATCCATCCATCCATCCATCCATCCATCCATTCATCCATCCATCCATTCATCCATCCATTCATCCAGCCAGCCAGCCATCCAGCCAGCCAGTCAATAAGGTTCTTCTTATTATGGGGTCCAGTTGTACAGTTGACTGGTCCAGACTTCCCTGTCTTCATCAACATTTTCCAGCTCCTCCTGGGATCTCTCTGAGCTCTCAAGCTGTTCTCAGGCCAGAGACAATAAAACATCCCTCTAGTCAGTTCTTGGTCTGCACCAGGATTTCTCTTCCCAGTGTGAACTGCCTAGAAGATGTCAAGGGGGATGTGACCATGAGGCATCCTCATGCCTGAACCACCTCAGCATGCTCCTTTCACAGAGGGGCAGCAGCCCCACTTCCTGCTTCAGGCAAAAACTCACCCAGCCCAGAAAGAACATTCCACTTTGACTTTCCTGAGAAAGATAGCCTCAAACCGATAGGAGCGCTCATTCTAGCCACTTTCCACTTTGATGCAAACTACCCAAATGTACACTGAAAGACGTGGCTTCAAGTTCAGTTTAAGAGCTATGAAGTGCTAAAGATGGTTCAGGAACCTTGGACTACACAGAGGAAGTTAGACAGACACATTCTGCCTTCACACATGCTTGTTCTAGAGAACATTTTCAAACCTTCAAGCTTCAGACATTATTGTTATTTATTGTATGGTACTCAGGGAATCCAGGGAGATGCAGGGATTTCTGGTGCACCTGGACCCAAAGGTGTGACTGTGAGTAATCTGTTTTAACATTATCTTTTACAACCGATGACAGTTATTAGACTGAAAATGATTTAATTTGACCTTTTTCTTACAGGGAGATTCTGGTGTAAAAGGTGAAGATGGAACCCCAGGAACCAATGTAAGTCACAAGCAGTTTCCACTTATTCTCATCTCCTCTGCACGAGAAGAGAAAGTGTTTCCTGTCACTCCTAACACGTCTTGATATTTGAAACCTGATAGTTCAAACTTTTCCCAAAATGGAAAATCCTGATAAAGGAGTTACCGTCAGAAGGCTTTATTCTCCACATAGGAACTAAAAAGTAAGGGTGTAATTGTGCAAACAGATGGAGCTTTCCTAAATCACTCTCCATACTTCCTGTCTGCAACACTGTGGGGGCGTTTAGAGATTTGGTTATGTCTGGAGTTTTTTCGGAGATGTTAAAACATGTCTCCCTGTAGCTGCTGCAGTGATGCTCGAATGCATCGTATCAAATATTTACTCTGTGGTGATTAGGTCCAATGTTTTTATGCCTCAGGATGTTTTAGAACCTTCAGCTTCCAGGAAAACAAAATAAATTGTAACAATTGTTCAGTGTTGGCTTCACCTCAAGTTAAAACATCAACAGTGTTGTAAAGTGCTGATCTCAGAGTGATGACGTTGATTATTTCAACATAAGGCATGTTGGTGTAGAGTCATAGAGTCAGCTGGAAGAACGCTGCAGTCCTGCTGCTGCCAGGGAGGAAGCAGTGTGTCAGTCTGCTTGTCTGCAGGAAATGGAAAACAGAGTTTAGTCTCTATGTGAGGCCTATTTTTTAGGTGTACTTTGTACTTTTAATCTTTACTAAATGAAATATGCAGCATAATGCATGCTCAATAATCCAGGTAGAAAAAGCTAACAAGATTGAACCAGGTCCTCTGGACGGATTCTTCTTTGTTGAAATGTTTCATCTTTTATCCACATGACTTCTTCAGTGTGAGGAGCTGCAACAAACTCAGTCTTATAAATAGCACCTTCTCATTGTGGATCAAACAGTTTGTTAGTGACATCCAGAACTAAATATCTAATTTTCTGATCGTTAATGCCCTGATGGCTGCTTGCTATTCACAGAGGGCTGAGTGATACTGGCAATAACAGCATTGTAAGAGGGGGACAGTTGAACATGGAGGCTCCGCCCCTGTTTAATGATGGACGAGTTTACTTCTCCTCCTCTGAGGTACTGAAGGTTCAGAAAAGTGTTTGAGCTTAAAAACATCATCTCTTTTAAGAGATGCCTTTAGTATTAGACAGGCTGTGGCTCTGCTTTAGTGGTGGTCAGTATTAACTGTATTTAAGTATCTGAAGTATGACTGGACATGATTTTAAATCTGTGATGATCCTTAGTTCTCTCAGAGTTTGTGCACTAACGTAGAAACAATCATGTTTTCATTTCGAACATGCTTTGTACATCATTCATCAAATCAAATCTGGATAACTAATAACATTCCCTCCACATGCTGCATGTTCTGTGGTTTGTGGGTTTCATCCCAGTAAATGCCAAAACCGACAAGACGGTGGGCGGAAAAGTAACAAAACTTTTCTGGTTTTTGTTGCTTCACAACCTGGAATTTAAACTGATCTTTAATTTGAACACAAGTATTGATTTTGTGAAAAGTATTCTAAAAAAATTAAAGCCCTAGCATTTCTTGAAGAAATGCTTCTCACCTGCCACCTTTAACACTAGAACTCCCAAACCTTTGCCATTTGGCAGTTATACTTTAAATCCCAAGGAACTGCCATGTGGCAGGTTTGAACTTGACTTTAGAAAGAATTCAAATTGAAATTTATTCAAATTCAGCCCGCTTGCCTCCATTGTTATGTAAATGAGGCCATTACATTTGCAAGAAGTTACTCTAAAGACACTCTACTCAGCAACAAGTTGGTCGGTTTGAAGAACCCCTCCCACCCAAAAACAAAAAAATCAACGTTACCAGAAATTTAGATTCAAAATTCAAAGCTTTATTGTTATATGCACATTAAAGACACATGTTACCCTGTTTCCATGTACAATGAAATTCTTACTTTGCTTCCCGCAGCGGATGCCCAAAATATTTTATATAAATCTAAGTACAAGCAATTAATAAAAGATAAAATAAAATAAGCATGCAACAATATGATAACAAAAGTATTCGTAAATAGAAATGTAAACTATGCAGAAATATGAACTATGCCAATAAGCCTATGTACATACAGTCATTGTACAGCAGTGTGCTACATTGCTTATTGTCAGACTGGTATGAAAACCCAAGAGACTCATCACACTTATAGATTGTCTAAACACACCTGGCAGTGCCACAACATCTCCTTTCTGCATTTGCCACATGTGAACCTGTTACAGGCAACACAACACTTAGTGGCATGGTTATTCTTGCAGCAACACTTAACCTGGCACAATGCCCTTTTCCCTGTGTCAGGTGTGGATGGTTGCTGCTGAGGGCTTTCCCTACACACCTGCTTGGCTGCCATATGAGACTGTGCAAGCTCTCTTGCAAGCTTCACCAGGAAATCCGTCCGTCTCTCTTTGACCCTAGTGCATGCCTGAAAAAGCACATATGCATTCAGTGCTGCAATGTCAATCATGTTGTAAAACACAGCGACTGGCCAACGCCGTGTTCCTGAACGTACAGTGTACTTTCGCACCATCTGGTCCATGACATCCACACCGCATTTTAGGCTGTTGTAGTCGGTGACTGTGTTAGGCTTTTTTTTCGGGTGTCCACAGTCTCCACCACACTGTGCATGCTACTGAGGATGCAGACAGTCTTTTTCCCTTTGGGCGCATAAACGGTCAGTGTGGCACCAGAGGTTGAAAACACCTGTGTACTGAATTCCTCGCAGTCCAAAGTTTTTTTGGCAGAGTCTGGACGCTCACAGCGAATCTTGTTTACTATCCCAAGGAGGGTGGTCTTCCAGCTGAGCAGTCGTTTTGCTAGTGACAATGAGGTGAAAAAATTGTCCGTGGTAACGGTTCTTCCTTTGTCCATAAATGGTTCCATAAGCTTCATCACCACCTTTTCCGATAGTTTTTCCCCCGTGGGACGACTGGGGTCTTTGCCATTATATGGGATGATATTGCATACATACTTTGATTTCAGGTCACATGCCACCCAGAACTTTATGCCAAACTTGTCAGGTTTAGTTGCAATCTACTGCAGGAAACAGCAACGGGTCTTAGTAGGAAAAAGTTGCTTATCTATGGTGATGTGCCTTCCTGGGTTGTAAGAAGTTATGCAGTTAGCAATGAAAGACTTCCAAACACCAGAGACTGCAGCAAACTGGTCATTTGTAACTCGTTCACTGCGTGTGTCCTTGTCTTCGAAACGTAAGTGCCGCATGATCTCCTGGAACTGGTTTCGAGCCATAATCTTGCTGATGGAGGGCACTCCCAGTGTTGCAGACCATATGTCATGCACTGCTGGAAGGCGAACAATCCCTCGCAGGATGAGGATTGCAATGAATGCCATTAGTTCAGGGAGGGCTATGAACCTGTTTTCATGCTGTGACTGGCGTGCATGCTGCACAGTCCACTCCTGTATGGTCCGAACCATTTCCAGAGAGATGAAACAGAGGAAACTCTGTAAGGGACTCGACACTTTTCTTCTGGCTAAAGCAGTTGGTTCTCCATCCGTGGGATGACATTCAATTGGGCTGTGATACAGAGGTCTTCTGATCTGTTCTTCACGCCACACTGTGCCGTCTTTTGCAGTCTCTGTGAGCCATTCGTGTGTCTCCATGTGTCCTCTCTTTTCTGGAGGTGGTGAATTCTCCTCATCTACAGGACCATATGTTTGAGATTTGATTAGTGAAAGGTTGAAATAATGTGAAACTGACACAAACATAATATTTGAATTGTAATTCCAAAACATATCAACTATGCCTCCTTTGTACTAATGTAGGATTTTTTCACACTGCAAAAAGATTTTTAAATTATTATTTTTTTGTTTTGTTTTGTTACGTGGAGATTACATTTTTTGGGTTGATTTGATGGTGTGACAGAGCACATACTATTTTTTTTTTCTGCTGCCTTTCATTTATTTTCTTTCTTCAGTTGTATATATTTTTCTTGTACATAAATTTGCTTTGTTTTTAATGAAAATTAATGAATAAACTAAATGAATGAAAAAGTGGCATATTGTTTAGTCAAAATAGTTCTGATTTTTTAAACCTTTTAATAGCAGAGTTTTAAACAAAAATGATGATAAAAAGAGGGAGTTACAGCTTTTTCTGATCAAACATGTTAACTGATGCTATGCACAATCTAATGGAAGATGGGTTAAGTTTGGGCAGTCGTTAGCAGGAATACCAGCATGGGAATGGAGTTGGAGTGGGTGTGAGGTTATAGGGGGTGAACAGGACACCTATAAAACTTTGATGCCCCCTTGACCAGACAGTTTCATCCTTTTGAGTCCCAAGCTTTTGCTTAGTGTGCATTTTTAATGATTATGATTAGTAGAACCTCATAAGTCTATAAACAAACATTATTTTTGACCAATTAAAAAGTAAAAATATAAATATATATCTTATTGGGGGCTGCCTCCTCTTATTATCCACCTGAAAAGGGTCTTGCTCTTGAATTAACTTTAATGTGGCCCAAACCGCAACGTGTACCCTCACATATTTTATATCAAAACGACCGGATCGGGGCTGTGATGTGTGCTATTACTTTTATTGGTGGTTCAAGTTACCATGGCGACGTAATTTGCAAACAAAGACTCCATTTTTCTCATTGACAAACACTGACAGAACTCTTCACAGCCTCTAACTGCCACAGTGAGGTCACATGACTAACAGTGAAGAGGTCTCTGAACAAAAACTTTTGGAGCCATGTTGGATCAAGATGGCTGACACAGCTACCTCAGAAAACCCAAAATTAACTATAACTCAGTCACTCTTTGAGATATTGAGCTGAAATTTGGTTTGGTGCAGCTGAGAGAGCAAATGTTATTACTGTTTTCTTTATAGGTTTTGGAAGTCTTTGAACAAATCTGGTTTGTATTTTAGGGTTTACCGGGTGTGGATGGATTACCGGGAAAACCTGGAGATCCTGGGAAAGATGTGAGTTTAATCTCATGTTTAAAATGATATTCCAGCTATCCTTAAATTAATGTTTTGCATATATTTAGTACCTTATCATCAATGGCATGAGTCAGAGAGCACAGCAGACACCAACATTTACCCAGTCTGTCCATAGCCTACGTGGTGTAGAAACAGAAGTTGTTCATCTGAAAGAACAGCAACAAATGAAACCATCATCATACAAAAGTGTAGACGTTTAAAATTGGCTCATGTAACGTTCTCTCACACCTGTATGTTATTTTTGAGATAGAGCTGTTTTAAAAACGTGTTAAAAAAACTTTAACTTGCATATGTTTTGCTAACCGTTAGCCCCGACAAAGACTTCTACCTCATTCCAAATACTTTGTACTTTATGATTGATTTAGTACTATTGATAAGTACAGTGTATAACAGAACATCACTTCAAAGTTGAATGTCCCTTTAGGCTTCTAAATTTCCAGACAAGCTTATGTTGCAATTTCTGACATAATGGAGGAGTATTAACAAAACCTTTCTAAACCCACAACTCAGGGTTTGAGAGGACTGGTTGGAGCACCTGGGCCCAGTGGCATAAAAGGCAACAAGGTTTGAGAACACCCTGCTCATATAATCCTCAGCACACTCTCTGTAAGTCGAGCTGATACAAATCGTTTAGGTGAAAATGATCAGAGGTTTCTCAAATTACTGTCTGATTTCTGCAGACATTCCTCAGGCTGCTCACTCATCTGTCAAAGAAAATACATACACATTTCATCTGTCTGTAATTACTGACTGATGATACTCACAGCGATGCACACACGCCTTCACCACCACGCCCACTAAAAACACGGACGTGGTTCTCTGTAGTGCAGAGCAAGTACACACTTGACTGATTTGTTTCACACATGCAGCTGCTTTTATTGTCTTATGGGTCTACTGGTTCTTCTGACTGGTGTTTGTCTTGCTGTGTGAACTGTCACAGGGAGAGAGAGGCCTGCCTGGATTACCTGGTGATGTGGTAAGTACTAAGATATCACTGAATGTTTGATTCTACTGAACAATGATCAGTTACAGACATTTGTAACTATAATCTTTGCACAAACAGAAAGATACGGAAGATGATTAGGGCCTAGAACATTTACCTAATGTTTTAGATTTCTTACTTTTCTCAGAATTTAAAAAAGTTAAAGAACACTGAATGTGTTTGAGACTGTTTTTTTTCCCCACAGTAATTGAAGATTTATTGTTTGTATTTAAAACCTTTAAAGACTTTAATATTTGTAAATAGATGTGTAGTTAGCCGTTCTGCCTTACTATTATCACAACTAACAAATAACCTAATAAATACACACCCAAAACTTTTTTAATTTTTCAATGTGATTCCAGGTACAACAAGAAGGCCTGCGGGGTGAGAGGGTGAGGAATCTTTCAACACTCGAGCAGCTTGATGAGACAACAACAGATACGTTTACTTACAGACTAACGTGTCCATTAAAATATATATTTATTGATTGATTGATTGATCCTCTGTAAAATAAAATGTAATAAAACATTTTCAGCATTACAAAGGGCAAACATAAGCTAACTTAAATTCTTCTGGCACCCATTGGTGGTTAGAAAACCAGCTTATTGTTGCATTCACTGCCACCTACTGGACTGGAGTTTGAAAGAAGAAAACAAGAAAAAGTACACAAACATGTTGAAAACAACACTGTCTTTGGAGTGTACAGGTCCTTCTCAAAAAATTAGCATATTGTGATAAAGGTCATTATTTTCCATAATGTAATGATAAAAATGAAACTTTCCTATATTTCAGATTCATTGCACACCAACTGAAATATTTCAGGTCTTTACTTGTTTAAATATTGATGATTATGGCATACAGCTCATGAAAACCCAAAATGCCTGTCCCAAAAAATTAGCATATCATGAAAAGGTTCTCTAAACAAGCTATTAACCTAACCATCTGAATCAACGACGTAACTCTAAACACCTGCAAAAGATTCCTGAGGCTTTTAAAAACTCCCAGCCTTGTTCATTACTCAAAACCACAATCATGGGTAAGACTGCCGACCTGACTGCTGTCCAGAAGGCCATCATTGACACCCTCAAGCACGAGGGTAAGACACAGAAAGAAATTGCTGAACCAATAGGCTGTTCCCAGAGTGCTGTATCAAGGCACCTCAGTGGGAAGTCTGTGGGAAGGGAAAAGTGTGGCAGAAAACGCTGCACAACGAGAAGAGGTGACCGGACCCTGAGGAGGATTGTGGAGAAGGGCCGATTCCAGACCTTGGGGGACCTGCGGAAGCAGTGGACTGAGTCTGGAGTAGAAACATCCAGAGCCACCGTGCACAGGCGTGTGCAGGAAATGGGCTACAGGTGCCACATTCCCCAGGTCAAGCCACTTTTGAACAAGAGACTGCGTCAGAAGCATCTCACCTGGGACTGCTGCTGAGTGGTCCAAAGTTATGTTCTCTGATTACAGTAAATTTTGCATTTCCTTTGGAAATCAAGGTCGCAGAATCTGGAGGAAGAGAGGAGACACAGAATTCACATTGCTTGAGGTCCAGTGTCAAGTTTCCACAGTCACTGGGGTGCCATGTCATCTGCTAGTGTTGGTCCACTGTGTTTTATCAAGGGCAGGGTCAATGCAGCTAGCTATCAGGAGATTTTGGAGCACTTCATGCTTCCATCTGCTGAAAAGCTTTATGGAGATGAAGATTTCATTTTTCAGCACGACCTGGCACCTGCTCACAGTGCCAAAACCACTGGTAAATGGTTTACTGACCATGGTATTACTGTGCTCAATTGGCCTGCCAACTCTCCTGACCTGAACCCCATAGAGAACCTGTGGTATATTGTGAAGAGAAAGTTGAGAGACGCAAGACCCAACACTCTGGATGAGCTTAAGGCCACTATCGAAGCATCCTGGGCCTCCATACCACCTCAGCAGTGCCACAGGCTGATTGCCTCCATGCCACGCCGCATTGAAGCAGTCATTCATGCAAAAGGATTCCTGACCAAGTATTGAGTGCATAACTGAACATGATTATTTGAAGGTTGGTGTTTTTTGTATTAAAAACACTTGTCTTTCATTGGTGGGATGAAATATGCTAATTTTTTGGGACAGACATTTTGGGTTTTCATGACCTGTATGCCATAATCATCAGTATTAAAACAATTAAAGACCTGAAATATTTCAGTTGGTGTGCAATGAATCTGAAATATATGAAAGTTTCATTTTTATCATTACATTATGGAAAATAATGACCTTTATCACAATATGCTAATTTATTGAGAAGGACCTGTATTAGTACCAAAGTATTTGTACCAACAAATTTGTTGGTATCATTGAGTCATCACAGTACTGATGTCAGTGTCTTGTGCATGCAGCTACAAGACTAAAATTAGTCACAGAAGAGCATATGTCTCATCTAGTAGAGATGCCAGTATGCCCACTGCCCCCCCGGACAAACTTTTGCTATGTCACAAAACAAAAGATGTAGAAAAATATACTACGTAATGCACTCTACAAAAAAAGCAAAGCTTGTTCAGATGATGCAGAGCAGCTTGATAATGAGTCTGTTTCAAAACTGTTGATTTGTTTACCAGTGATATACGGTAAGACAGCATGGAAAAAATATTAGTGTTTTGAAGTTCCCCTGGTGTCTTAACAGTATACACCACCAGGCATTTAATAAGTCCCACTCTTGTATGAACATCACATAGCTGCCAACTAGTTGAGAAGCGAGTGAACATTTATCATTATATTGTCCGCTGCTTCGGAGCAAAGTAGAGGGAATTGGAAATACCCTCCATCGGTTCATCAGTCCATGCATGTTGTGAGCATGATCACTTGCAAAATAAGTAAGGTACAGACTTCCATTTTGGTGTGTGGTTGCATCTAGGTGAAAGAAAGTTTCCTTTCAAAAATTTGGTTGCCATATCAAATTCCAAGAGGGCCACCACCATATACATATGTAAGCCAACCACTACTGTCATTTGAGGAAACTATGCCTTCTAGTTTTTATGTTGCTTAAAATATAGTCTTCTCAAATGATCTGCATGGCCAAAAAATAATCTATGGTAGTCAAGACCCCCATTAGCCATCCCCTGGATCCACCATTGCATCTGGTCTTAGATAAAATTTCTCCTTCCACTTGCCAGGATCTGTCACTCTGTGTTGCCTCGGACAAGCAGAAAAAACACCTCTGTTCTTCTCCGCAGTGTAACTAGGATGTCTTGCACCAATTATATTAATGTTTACCGGTACTTACATCCACGATTCAATTCCAGTCCAGATAAACACTTGACATCTCAAAAACTGCAAATATTCACTATTCAAATCCGTCAGGACATTGACATACCACTTGTTATGTTTATTCACATTGGGAAATACTAATCATGCCTGCCTTTCTTTACTCCAAGTTTAGGCCAAATTTACTGAAGTAAACAGTCCTTTGTGTACCATTTACCCAAAACAGAGACACATTTCATTGGCATGAGATCTTGTCGCACCCCTACTCACCAGGTTTAGTTTGGTTTGTATCTGCAACACAAGTGTTCAGATCAGTCAAAGGGCTCCATTAGCAGCTGCAGCAGGATGACAACAATCCACCGAAGTACCTCAGTTCAGTTCAGTTTATTTATAGAGCACCAAGTCACAACAGAAGTTGTCTCAGGGTGCTGTACAAAAACATTTGCATACATTAAAAAAGCCACTTAGTAAAGTTATCTATCAAAGGAAGCAGCAGATTGCGTTGAATCTTCACTTGACTACAGTCTCTCATTCTGAGCAAGTACAATGGAGATAGTGGAAAGGAAAAACTCTCTTTTAACAGGAAGGAACCTCCAGCAGAACCAGACTCAGGACAAGTGGCCATCTGCTTCTGGGTTTGGGAGGAACAGGAAGGAGAAATGAACACAGAATGACAGGTCCAGGTGAACTTTCTACTGGAGGAAAGACAAAACACATGCTAAGATAGAAATAATTACCAACACAAACATGTCGAGTAGAACAAGTAAAGACAGCAGCAGAGTGAAGAAATGAGGTCAGTGTGTCCTCTTGTAGTCTAAGCCTATAGCAGCATAACAAGCTAACACTAACTATAGGATTTATCAAACAGGAATGACTTAAGCCTAATCTGGACAATGTGTCAGCCTCATGGACAGAATCTGGAAGTTGGTTCCACAAGAGAGGAGCCTGAGAACTGAAAGATCTTCATCCCATTCTAATTTTAGAAACTCTAGGAACCACAAGTAATCCTGCAGTCTGAGAGCAAACTATTCTGTTGGGGAAATATGGAGCAATAAGATCTGTATTTTTTACCATAGCAAACATCGTGCACCCCAGCTGACCCAGTACCACCTTGTGACACTTGTACATTTAGGTGGACCAAAAAAATGGAATTGATGAAATGTACAGTTTTCTGTTTTCCACTGATTCGTGTAACACATGCCCTGATGTTGCACTTGTTTCAGGGAGAACCTGGACCTTCCGGGCCTCCAGGAGCAGACGGCCCCCCAGGGCCCGCTGTAAGAATTCAGATTTATGACTTCCTTGCTGCTGCTGTTCAGATTTCGATGTGTCATGCAGAGAAACACAACACATCTGCTTTTATGTCATGTTGAGCAGTTTGCTGAAAGTCACGTTGTCTGATGCTTCGATCCTCAGGGTCCTCCTGGTCCACAAGGCCTACCTGGAGAACATGGGGAACCAGGGCAAAGGGTAAGAGTAAATTTCCCACCTTTTGGAAAAATGCCTGAGTTTAGCTGCCCTGATTAAGGCCTCTCTGTCTCGTCATGAATTCAGCTCACACATTTTGCCTTATTTCTGTCATTCAGTCTTAATCCTTAAGTGGCCCATTCAGGACTAGAAAGCTACCATGTTTAGCTTCCTGCTGTCTTATGTTTCACTACAAAAAAGCCACTGTGGTCATTGGGTCAAAGCCTCATCATTCAAAAAGACATTCATAAGTACATCTGACGGGTAAAATTGAACAGAGGGAAAAGCATCAGAGACTTTTCCTCCATCTTCTGTCCCACTTCTCAGAGTCTCATTAAACCAGACGCAGCAGTTCATCATTGTTTTCACAGCTTTTACAAAGACAGTTGGTGTTCTCCTCTTCGGGGAACATTTAATTCCTCATTAGCCGAGTGCTGGACTCAACATCAGCAGCTGCTTAGCTGGACAGCGGTGCCACGCCGGATATCTTCAGATTGGACTTTGGCCAAAGCTGCACACAAACTGCTGGGTTTATGGATGAATAGAATAAATAACCACTCTAGGTTTCATTTCCACATGTGTAGAGCAAGTATGTCAGTGCATGCAGTTTAGATTTGTCACTGCATATCTATGAAATAATTTGCATCACAGCTGAATGCAAACAACATGGTGCTCTGTGCTGTTTGATGACATGGATGTAATGTTTATTACCTTTAAACTGACTCTACTCTGCTGCAACAAACCACAGCTCAACATGTACTATTGATAAATGAAGGTACCAATATATTATACAGCCCAGAATGTACCTGGTACTTAAAAAGGTATTTACAGGGTACATTGAAATTGTGTACACAGGGTCCTAGTTACATCCAACAATAAAATGTATAAGAAAAACAGTAATAACATCTAAGATATGAACTAAGAAAAACATCAACTACAGTAAATATACACTAAGCACTAATAGTATAAAAATAAAATCAATACACTGAACAGCAGCACAAACATGAATCTGTGTGAGCAGATGAGCACGAATGAACACATAAACATAAACAGATCAGCAGCAACATGAAACAGATCAGCAGCAACATGAAACACATCAGCAGCAACATGAAACAGATCAGCAGCAACATGAAACACATCAGCAGCAACATGAAACAGATCAGCAGCAACATGAAACAGATCAGCAGCAACATGAAACACATCAGCAGCAACATGAAACAGATCAGCAGCAACATGATGTGATTTTTTTTCCACAGATATTATTCTGGTTAGAGATTCATGAGTCTAACAGCCTCAGGGTAGAAGCTGTTCCTCAGTCTAGTGGTTCTACACTTAATGCTCCTTAACCTCCTTCCTGAGGGGAGCGGAGCAAAAAGTGTGTGTGCTGGGTGAGTGTGGTCCTTCATGATGCAGGTGGCTCTCTTCCTGCATCTGGAGGTGTAAATGTCTGTGATGGTGGGGAGACTGACTCAAACAGTCTTCTGTGCAGCCTTCACCACTCTCTGCAAAGCTGTTCTTTCTGCAGCTGCGCGCACACACACACACACACACACACACACACACACACACATACACACACACACACACACACTTTGGCTTTAGAAAACATAATCTAATATCAAAATGAGCTGGAATGTTATTCTTTATTAGAGTTTTTTTTTTAAATTATTTCACTACCTCTCATAAAAACTTAAGTCTCTAACTATATGTATATGGAACTCTAATCATTGGTTATGACTCTTAAAACGTAAATAATGAACATTTTTCTGTTTAAATTTATTTTATCCAAACTTGTTTTTTTATTGTGTTTTTTTCAGGGAAGGAAAGGTGAAAATGGTCTGCATGGTGTTGACGGCCTTCCTGGACCTCCTGTAAGAACAATTTCCATTTACTTTCATCATTTTTATCCTCCTTTTATAATAATAATAACAATAATAATAACAATAACAACAACAACAACAACAACAACAACAACAACAACAACAACAACAACAA